TTAAATGACACAGAAACAGCTGATTTCCCTCTCTCTACTACTGCAGGAAGCTATGAGATTCTCCTGCTCCCTGACTTACACCTTTAGCTTTCCTACTCGCTTCCTTGGAGAGCTGCAGGTGACCAGACCTTAATTATTCCCAAAGAGAAACCTGAGGAGGGGCTGAGCTGCCCAGGGGGGAGCACAGAGTACACTGTCACTGCTCCCCATGCCTCTGAGTAAGAGCTCTGACATTTGTCGTTGCTGGTGTTACTCCAAGGCAATGCACTTGTCCAATGGCATCATTCTCGTAGTGCTCAAGTGTATGTGCTCTATATTTTCACGCAATACCTGTGAGCGTGAATAACCGAGGCAAACCAAGCACAGCTGTGCTTACTACTCAGAGGCAAACTATAAAGTGTTCGGTAATCAATATTACATATAGAAAATGCTAGTTTGCTATTATTTTATCTATATTGTACGTGAAAGCAGACCTTTTTCTAATATTATTCATATTGTCTGTTGTGGACTCCCAACGGCACTAGCAATTTTGCACTGTAAAATCTACAGAGCAAGCTACATAGCCAATGTTTTTAAGCTGAGCATTTAGAGCTTTCATAAAGTGCACCAGTTTACTGAAAATTTTCTTGAAAGAAAACTCTCCAGTGTCAAAGAAATGCAAGCTGAGCTTAGGGACTTTTTGTGTATATAGCACATTTATTTTTTTTCCCCATCAGACTAGAGTAACGACTCATTATATTAGGTTATTTCCACTTAATTCAAGGAATAGTACAGAAGGACTTCCCTTACAAGGTTTCTAAACTTCCTAGTTTAACAAATGCTTTCTGTAGCAAGTATAACCCACTTTTGATTATGACTGATCAGGAGCCTCTTACAGCCTCTGTCTTAATGAATCAGGTTATGAATTACAAGGTCGTCTGCTCAGGTTCAGTCCCTAGACGCAGCCAAGGTTAGTGGGTTTTTTAAAACACTTCAAATGGAACAAACTGAGATCTAATTTAGTTCAATACAAACCCACTTTGATATGTAAGAAGAAAAGCAGTGAGAAGTAGTCTAAATTTTCTAAACCATCAGAGAAGAAGGAAAACTGTAATTTTCATCTTACTAAATCGTTCAGAGATGACAGCATTTATCCAGGCTGTAGAAGATCTCTTTCACCTCTATTTTCTGTATTAATCAGAAGAACAGATCTACACTCAGTCCCTTACTTCACAGTTGAACAAGTTAATCAGTACACTGTAGGATATTCTGAGAAATGTTTCCCTCATCCCTGCTGATTGGAACCACTGTACCAAGGTAGATAATGACATATTATAAGATCATCATAACTGAGAACAAGAACAGAAGAACAAGGATGCCTGTTGGCAAGGGGTCCTGGGGCAGTGTGTGATGTGAATTCAGTCGTCTTGGAGAAAAGGTTTGCACTTGAGAATCCTGACATTCTGGATTAATTTGCAAGCCTCGGAGCTGCTGATGTAATAGAGAATATAGATCTAACAGTGACAGGTTTTACTTTCATACCTGACCCGACTTGACAGACTCCACCCGGATTCACAGGTAGTAGTTTGAGGAAAAGCAAAACCACAGTTTTTATTTTATAGCTTGCTTCTCGAAAAAAGAATTATCCTCTTCTACTGAAGAAGTACTAATGCTTAACATCCAGAAAGCCTTGTTCCCATTTCTAGCTCACAGCTATTTTATTGGGCCTGCCTTGCATCCTGCTATTCTGGTACTTCTGCCCTGAGATTAGCACGATGAAAATTGGGCATGCCTGCGGGGCATAATGCTCCAGTGTTTGTGCACAGAACTGCTGGTTTATCAGTAACGCTGTCCTGAGAGGGATTATCGGAAAGTCATCTTAGTGCCTCCCAGGCTGTCTTCACTTTTTCCCGTTTTTGCGGTGTATTCTCCTCACATCTGTCTGCAGTTTGCTAT